ACTGATTGACTTTTTCAGTCTTGCGATTGCTTTCATTATAGTGAATGCTTTCATTATATCCAATCCGATACAAATATGAGACTCAGTGTACAGCGTAGTCAGTGTCTTTGATTATAACCAAAGTTTTCGCAAGAGTGCAGAACTCAGTCAGGGAACGGAATTGACAGCTGTATTAATTATAAAAGGAGCGATGTTTGGTTGCTTTCTTTATGCAACTTATTCACAATCGTTTTTCATTCTGCTAAAAATAACAATGGGAAGTTAATTGTATACTCACTGTCTTGATTTATTGTAGCTACCACCACTTCTTTCCACTCTCACACGATATAGAAGCAGGACATTATTTTCTGTGTTTACGGACATGAAGTTAACGAGAAAACAAATGACGAAAGCCTGGATTTCCCTCCAAAACCAACCAGACAGCTCAGACTTGTAGGTTTGAATAGGGGTAAGATAAGAACCCTGTAAAATTAATCAATTTAAACATTTTACAAGAAAATACTAGTTCAGGCTTTTTACAGAATATCTTAAAAATGTCATGTTTAATTCAGTGTGTGACGTGCTGTTTTTTAGTATTTTACTAACAATTTCTGGGTGAAAATTGTTTAAATCCTACACCATTTTTTTAAAACACAGATTTGACTTTGATATCTATATAATGGAATTTTGTTAATTGGTTTTATAAAAAAAAAAAGACTATAGTGGAGCTTAATTGTCATCATATAATTTCTTTAACATAAATATAAATAATTTAATAATATAAATTATTTATTAATAATTCTAACGTTTTTAATAGGAATTACATTGACATAGGGTTAAAAAAAACTTGGTTGTGTCTAAATTTTCTTGCACAATTGTTCTCTCCCACTCTGGGGCCCCTGTTAAGTTTTGCGGAATGTATCCATCTTGCTTCCTACCAAAAGAGCATATTTTCTCCTTTTATGGAAATGGCTCAGTGTTGTTCTCTGTGTCTGGGCAGACATGAATCATTGTTAAACAAAAGAGCGGAGAGTGGCTTAAGAAGAGCTGTAAAAGAGTGCTGAGAGGGAAGGACTGTTAGTTAGGAGATGGCAACACATACTGCAAGTGTGCCAGTCTACACTATCTGCCAGCCTATTTGAAGTTGTTCAGCGTGGCTCAACAAAGCCATGCTCCATCTGGCTTCAAAATCACTTCGCCATTCCACCAAGCGGCCTGCCAGGAGGACACCATAATGATGCCTCAAATATCAAAGACTCAAATTAAATTGAGGCTCCTGATGCGAGGTGGCATTTTCTGCACTTTTTTGCTATGGTAACCCCTTCAGAGCAATACTGTTACCCATCTCTGAAGACTTTGAAATCTGTCCACCACCTGCAGCTTTGAGCTCAAAGAGAAAGTTTGGTGCATGAGCTACTTCACAGAGTGCACTTCTTAGAGTGCACCTGCACCATTTTGAGTGATCAAGTCTTACCTGTCTTCTGTTCCCCTGTCCCCTAGTCTTATTTACACCTCTCATTATTGCCGGTCGATGGCTCACCATGTCTGTATGGGAATGATAGATTGTATCAATGTAATGTCTTCATCAAGTATGAAAAGTAGAATGATTTGTTGTTAATCCCCCTTTCAGTGTCAGACAGAAGGAACAATTGAAGCCATATTTCTCTAGACAATTGCACAATGGGGTTGATAAGAAAACAACACATGAAATTAGTTTATAATCCTATAAGTGTCCTATTAATTTCAGTCATCAATGTTCCCCTTGAAATGATCATGCATATCTGCTGCTGCCTGAGTTTGATTTGAACAGTTATTAGCAGTGATGACTCGAGTTTTATCAGCTGACCTCAGTCAAAGACGATAAACAGTTGCTTTTTTGTGCATTTGGTCTTTTTCAATATCAGTAGTTCACTGATTCCTGAGTACTAGGAAAAAAGTGAAATAAAGAGCACTATTTTAAATTAGGGATGCACGATATTAGATTTTTGCCAATATCTGATATGCAGATATTTTAAAATCATTTTGGCCGTTAGCTGATGCCGATGGCGATACCAATATATACTGTATTTCCCTTTATTTTGAAACAACAACAAGTCCCTCTTGTGTGGAATTTATAAACAAATTATTTTTAACTTTGGTTAGTTTTGAGCAAAAACTTATTTGTTAGAACTAATAAACATTATTAAGTTATTACATTTGTATCAGCACCATCAGATGCAAAAAAATTAAATAAAAAAATCAAGCCAAAATATTAATACATTTTGCATTCACTTTAATAAATAAAGTGCAGGTGTTAAGGAAACACATATTTTGATATCACATATTAGTCATTGTTTTTCTGGTGATATTAGCTAACATGACAGTTGACAGTAACATGACAAAATTTGGAAAATTGTCTAAAAATCTCAAACAACTGATTTACATCATATTTTGAGTTAATATTGAGGTTGTTCTGTGTAATAAAATGTGTTGAGAATATATATATATATATATATATATATATATATACAGTATGTGTGTATATAAATAAAGGCTGTAATAATTTTGAACTCATGGCTAGTGAAATATGAAAAGGGGAACTTCAGGAAAAACACTGACTTTGAAGTTGCCTAGTTTTTAATGCTTTAAAAAAAAATGCTTTAAAGACAAAGTAAGGACATATTTGCAAAACTTTATAAAAGAGGTACAGTAGTGCCACAATTCTTTACACTTTTTGGTGTAATCAACATAGAGATTTTTTACTAAACAGTAGTCTTAAGACCCGTCCACACCATGAACGATAACTATAACGATAACTACATTAGCGTCTATACCAGCGGATGATAATGTCTGTTTATTCTAAGTGCATGCTCGTCTGCCGCTTTAAATTCTCAAGCTCGTTATAGCAGGATTGGTTCTGATTGGGTGTCATTGTTTTTATCGTTCATCAGCTGGAAAAAATTGTTCAGAAAGTGATTCCAACAATATTGTTTCCCTGTGCCTTTATCGTTATAATTGTGGTGTGGACTCTGCTATTATTTAATATTAAAAATGATTTTTAGAATCGTTTCTTTATCATCATCTTTATAGTATATCTTTATAGTACATCGTCCTTGGTGTGAACAAGCCTTTAGTTATCTTTGAATATTCATCTGAGTTAGTGATAATGTAAGATCATAATTTGATATAAATTAACATGTTAATTTTTTAGTGACCATCTCTCCCCAAATGTTGCTTTTTTCCCAAGTAATGGTAGGTGCAGTACTTGTTTTGTCTCATATCTCAAGAATTAGTGAGTTATATTTAGTGAGAGGTCAGTTTCTTATACAAAAATGCCATTGTTTGTAGCGCTGGTGCCCACATGGATGACGAATCAGAAACTGTGCTGATAGTTAATGTCATTAGTCCAGGCAGATCTACAGATCGTGAGGTCTTATCATCCGCCCATGGGACATTAGTACCCAGCAGGAGTGTGTGAGTGGTAGTGTCGCAGTGTATCTGAGCAGTCATCTGTCCGCCCCATGTCCTCCTCGGGCTCCAGTACTCGTGCACTCTTGCACAGATGGTCCATTCTTGCCATCATCTCTGCCACACTGCCATTTCTAATCAAAGGAGAAAAAATATCCAATATTTCCACAAGGAGATCTGCTTGTGCAATGATTGAATAATCAAATTTGTCCAGTGCATGATTAAGAAATAGATTTGTGGAATGAAACTTGGAATGCAGTGGCACTAGCAAGGCCTCCTGACAAGCATTTTTCCAATAAACTGTGGTGTTGTCAATGAAAATGACTCATCATGTAGAGCCAAGATGCACTCCATATGAAGGAATTCATCTATTGATGTGGTGAGGTATTGATTGCATTCACAAACCCAGGTATGGGGGATTCTCTCTGATTATTTAAGCGGCTGACACTTTTCTGTGAGTAATCTCACACGCTGTGGTGTTGAATGGAGGTGTCTAGTATTTCAAGAAAAAATTAGAGATCTGTGAGATTTCAGTTCTTTCGGAGGAACCCAGTAGCTTTGCTAATGGGTTTTCAAAAATGTCTTCATCTGTTTTTGTTTTATAAACAGTGATCTTTATCTACTTTTCAAGCAAATCTTAGAGACTGTGACCTAATGCGTCCTATTTATGTCTATATATAAATATATCCATACCGTTTTCAGTTGGCAGGATTTTTTTAAGTTATTAACAGAGCAATGGACAAATGAGAAAGCAGAGAGTGGGACGTGGTTGATATTAAAAGCGCAGTAAGCTGAGAAAGAGATCTGAATCCGGTAACAACGTACTAGCTGTGTCCCAGTTCTGAGGCTGCATCCTTCGAAGGATGCAGACTTCAAAGGTCATGCCTTTGAAGGCCGCAGAGGTCAAATACACACAAAAATGTGTCAAAATGCATGCTGCGGCATGTAAACCCATTTAGTTATGTTTTAGTTGAATGTAAATAGTTGTGAGAAAGTAGGATGTGTGTCAGTATATTAGGTCTGTGAATTAGGTCTTAAAGTGACAGCAGCCATAATAAATCTGCTACTGCCTGTACCATTAATATTAATCAAGCAACATAAGAAAAAAAAAATAGAAAATCACTCCCTGCTTTTGACCAAATAAATTTTTTGTAGATTTAATTATTATTTTTAATTATTAAATTATTAAAAATTGTATTAATTATATTTAATTCATAAAGTGTTGCATTTTTCATCGAACTATTACCTGAAAAATTTAAAGCACTGTTTACTTCATTTGTATCTTTGTTCTATTTTATTCATTTGATACATTGCTTCTTATTTGTTCTTTGTTTTGACTGTTTACTTGTCTTGAATAAGCTTGAGCACTTTTTACTTGCGTGTTAGTTGTAGGGCTTACTAGATTTTTATCATAGCTTGCAAAATAGTCTTAAAAATCAACATGAAAAAAAAAATCATGATAAGATGGTGGATCGTGATCCTTCCTGACAAAATCGTGATATGATATTTTTGCCATATCGTCCACCCCTATTTTTAAATTAAGCAGTTTTTCATTTAGTCCTTGTTATCCACAGGTCTAAAGAACTAATCAAAGAGGCCATTCTTGACAATGACTTCATGAAGAACTTGGAGCTGTCTCAGATTCAGGAGATTGTGGACTGCATGTACCCTGTGGAGTATGATAAAGATAGTTGTATCATCAAAGAAGGCGATGTGGGCTCCCTGGTCTATGTCATGGAAGGTAGGTCATGTCAAAGTATTCTTGCTGTTTACTTTACTGTGTTTTACAGCTGTAACAGATGATATACAGATAGGCCAGTAAACCACAAGAGGCTGTGCATTACAGTGATTTTACCTCGGGTATGGGGTGTTCTTTGGAAAAACCTCTTAACTGTTTAACACACGATGGTGTATTGCTTTACTTTGGATACTGAAAATTTAATGGCCATAAATAATTTGTATAAGACACGAAACTGCATTTTAATAATTTATTTATTTTATTAAAGGGGTCATAGGATGCCCATTTTCCACAAGTTGATATGATTCTTTAGGGTCTTAATGAAAAATCTGTAACATAGTTTGGTTAAAATTTCTCAATGGTAGTGTAAAAAACACCTTTTTTACCCTGTCAAAAACAGCTCTTTTCAGAGCACGCAGTTTTGTAGCATTTTCCTTTAAATGTTAAAGGGGTCATATGATGCTTTTTTAAAGATCATTATTTAGTGTAACAAAATATGTTGACATGCTTTAATGTTCAAAAAACACATTATTTTTCAAATACTGTACATTATTGTAGGTCCTCTATGCCCCGCCTCTCTCAACCGCTTCGTTTTCTACAAAGTCCCTCCTTCCGACAAGCGCAGTGCATCATATGACCCCTTTAATGAGCTCTGCTGACCCCACCCTCTCCGCGTCAAAACTTACTAATTAGCACATTATTAGGAAAGGCGATTTGCAAAGATTCGTTAAAAAAACCTTACACTCATTTCTTCTGTAGGTGAAGCTGGATCACGAATGATTCGCACAAACATAGATGCATTTATGTAGATCGGGGACGCATTTCCTTCAAAAACAAACATAATCCACTGCGTCTTCTCAGATGTCGGGAGTAAACGACGACTGCTATGTTCATTATTATATCCAACAACAGAACACCTCAATCGCTTAGGAGTCATTCTTGTCTACAACTGCTCCAGCAGTGAAACAATGGCGGATTGATGACAGCTCACTCAGGGCGGGCCTAAGGTAAGACGCCAGGCCAGTCTGTGCTGAAACGCTACTGTCAATCAAACTATCATGGGAGCGGTGGGAGGGCATCTGAGATCGGCTCGATTTGAGAAAGGGGTAAAGATTTTAGTAGATTAACAAAAAACCACTGGGTGGATTTTTATCATTTTAGGGTGGTTGTGTACACACACTGCCAACACACATTTCAGTTCAAACAACTTGTAAAAGTGCATGTAGCATTATATGACCCCTTTAAAATACATGCTCCCATTTAGCATTGATTTATTTACCAGTATATTGAGTGAATTCAGTTAAAGGCCCAATTTACCTTATTTTGCCCTATGTAAAAAAAAAAAAAGATTCCAAAAGTTCAGCTTGTAACACTCCAAAGAGAAAGGAAAACTTGAAATCGCATCATATGACCCCTTTAATGAGCTCTGCTGACCCCACCCTCTCCGCGTCAAAACTACTTAATCTACAAAAAAAGATTTTAGTAGATTAACAAAAAACCACTGGGTGGATTTTTATCATTTTAGGGTGGTTGTGTACACACACTGCCAACACACATTTCAGTTCAAACAACTTGTAAAAGTGCATGTAGCATTATATGACCCCTTTAAAATACATGCTCCCATTTAGCATTATTTACATGATTTATTTACCAGTATATTGAGTGAATTCAGTTAAAGGCCCAATTTACCTTATTTTGCCCTATGTAAAAAAAAAAAAAGATTCCAAAAGTTTTTTTTTTGCAGTGATACCACAAAAGGAACTATTTTGGGTTCCCCAAATAACCTTTCTGTGAACGGTTTTTAAAAGTGTCAAGAACATTTTAATAATCTAAAGGACCTTTTTCCACTATAAAGAACTTTGTGTCCAATGGAAAAGTTTCATGAATGTTGAAGGTTCTTCGTGGAACCATCGATGCCAGTAAAGAACCTTTACTTTTAAGAGTGTATGAGATCAGCCAGTTGGTAACACTTCATAATAAGGTCTGAAGTTCTGGAGGAAAAACCTTCTGATTCTAAAATTTCTAGATGATAAAGCAGTTTATAGCTACAGTTTGGGGTTTAGTTTCTGCTCTGTGAAGATATAATTTACCACTTGGATGTAAATGTAAATGCCCCCCTCATTATGTAAATTAAATTTTATGATGATAAAATTTGTAATAGTTCTCACAGGCCTACTTCAGTTTTTACAGTTTGTTAAATTGATGACTCTTATGAAAGGAAATGCTCCATGTAGTAACTCACAAATCACTTTATTTTCAGTAGAGAGCAGCAGTGTAAACCCCGGCACAGGTTCACACACAAATCGAGAGTCTGTTCAGTTATACATTTTGGTTGTCACTCTAGTTTACAACCAATCAACACGAGAAAAAAACACATTTAGCTCTCGAAAATAGGGCTGATGCTGTTTGAACGTTGGCTTAGAACTGAACTTGAGGAGTAATAACCGTAGCCTCATTTAATGCACTTCCAATTTAGCTTTTCATCGCCAGGCGGCCGGTTTGAATGGTGAGTTTTATGGTCACCTTGGATCTATTCACAGACATAACATAGATCTCTTTCTTCTTTTATCATGTTTTATTTCCGTGTGGTCTGCCGCAGGTTTTGTTGCAGTGCTGTATGAGTTCTTTCTAATGCCGTTTGTGATGTAAAATCTCCTTTTTGGTTTTGTTGACCATAAACAAAAGTCCTTTTAGACGTATTCACATCTTATTTAAGCCATCAGCTGTCCACGTATTTGGTTCAGACACCACAGGGCTTTTCTGAATGCACAGCCCCCCTCAGTGCAACAGGGTCTCTGGAAGCATTTAAAAGTTCACTTATTGCCAGTCTGAAAAAGTAGTCTGAAGTTGATTGTGAAGTGCACCTTGTTCAAAAAAACAAAAACAAAATCTTTTTTTTGGTGTCGCTCTTGCTGAATTGGTCTCTAGTTGCCCTTTAAAAATATAAACTGTTAATAAGATGGTTTCTAGTCTTAAAGATATTCTAGTCTTGAGCTGAATTCAGAGTGTCTGGAAAGTTTCCATGGATTTTAAAGGTTCTTCATGGAACCATAGATGCCAATAAAAACCTTTATTTTTAAGAGTGTAAAACAAATCAAACTAATTTTAGAAGTGTAGCTAAATAGGTGGGAGCACAGAGTTTGCTTTAATGCTAAGGTCATTGGATATGTTGCAAGAGAAAAATTGCTTCCAAAATGTTTCAGACACATTTAAAAATCATCATTCTGCGCTGTAGGGTTTTGGCATTTAAAAAACAGAAGTGCTTGAGTTGAAATATCGCATGAATGGCTTTGAATAGGCATTCAAGTGAGAGCATTTTCACAGCACTGCACCCATGAACCATTTTTGCCTCTCCAAACTAACCCCTGCCAGTCACAACAGGAGGCATGCTCTTTACCGCCAAACCTTTCAGTCTGCTCCCAGTAATGTACACTTGGCAGGTGGCTCACCTCCTCCTGGTGTATTGTTGTAGCTGTAGAATATGTCGGTAGTTGCCTCTAGCCACTTGAGATGCTAATTTCCTCTAATTTATTGCCTTGCCCTTGTGTCCGCCCTCTCATTTGATTCCAAACCCCCTAAGACTGACTGTGGTCCTCTTCATGAATGTATTTAGTAAGCAGTTTTGGCAATTATGTGTACGCCCTAATGTGAACTTTGAAAGCGAGTGAATGTGTAATATTAAATGTCAAAATAGTTCACCCAAGAATGAAAATTGGCTGAAAATTTACTCACCCTCAGACTTTCCATAATGTAGATGAATTTGTTTCTCCATCAGAACAGATTTGGAGAACTGTAGCATTACATTACTTGCTCACCAATGGATCCTCTGCAGTGAATGGGTGCCGTCAGAATGAGAGTCCAAACAGCTGATAAAAACATCACAATAATCCACACCAATCCAGTCCATCAGTTAATATCGTGTGAAGCAAAAATCTGCATGTTTGTAAGAAACAAATTCATCATTTAGATGGTTTTAATTTCAAACCATTGCTTATGGCTAAAATATGAGTCCTCTATACATAAAATTGCTTATTCCAGTGGAAAAAGTTGTCTTGTCTGAATCAGGAAATTTTCAGTTTACAAGCAAAACCAGTCCATAACAGTTCTAAACAAATATGTAGGTGATTTTGATGTGAGAGGACAACAGGGGATGTACTTTTTCAGTGGAGGAAGCGTTATTATGGATTATGGACTCTTGTTTTGGCTAGAAGTAATGGTTTGAAATTAAAATGCCTTGATTAATTTGTTTCTTACAAACACAGTTTTTCGCTTCACAAGATGTAACTGATTGACTGGAGTCATGTGAATTACTTGTGGATTATTGTGATGTTTTTATGTTATTGTGATGTTTTATTATGTTTTTATTTAGTGTGCTGTTTGGACTCTCATTCTGACGGCACCCATTCACTGCAGAGGATCCATTGGTGAACAAGTGATGTAATGCTAAATTTCCCCAAATCTAATTTGATGAAAAAAAAAAAAACAACTTTCCATCTCTTAATTTGTATTAATTTGCTGAATTAACTTCAGACAGACCCCTTTGGTGCACAGCAGTCTAAATTTTAAGCAATTAAATATTTGAAGCAACAGGTCACCCAATTTGCTGGGAGGCAACTGAAGGAATTAAATGTTAGGAACATATTAATCAGATTACAGATTCCTTGTGCTGAAGATATAGAAGCTGAATTTATCTCTATTGTCTGACAGAAGTTACTTGATATTTAGTAGGCATGTACTTTTTCCTGGTGTCGATATGGATTTGATATGCATCCAGACATAAAAATATATTTACAATTTATTAATTGTACTCTGGAAGTTGTAATTGTACAGTGTAATTGTACTCTGATTTTACTCCGAAAATGCTAGTAAATTTCACAAATAATAACAGAAATGGCAAGCATCACATTGAATTAAACATGAAATTTAGAAATAGAAAACTGAAGTAGTATTTTCTTGTAAAACATCCTCCAGCAATCTTTGTTTTATTTGTGTTATTTATTGTG